AAGATAGTAACCCAATGATTTTCCCTCAAAGCTAGTAATCAATGTGACGTTTGCCCACGATTCTTATGGATCTTCATCTATTGATTTAGGTGTAAGTAGAGATGGTACATCCTCAAGGTCGAAAGGTAGAGGGTTTGGTGTAGGAATACATACACCTATAAATCTAACTCAAAGATTACGTATAACTCTTCTTAGAGATAGGTATATTATCTTATATTGTAATGAAATAGTTATATCTCTTATATATTGTACTAAGCAATAATTTTCTTTTATCTTATGGTAGTACTTTTTTTGAGACAAGGGTCACCACAACAATAACAAGAATCATAAAAAATCACTTCCACAATCCATGGCCGACATAGAAGAAAATCCCTAATAACATTAAGGATTTAATGTTTAAGAAATTTGAGGTATATGTTTAATATTCAATTAAATTATTATTTCTTGTTTTTAATTATGTATTAAATTTTTTATTTACTCAATTATTTTATTGTAGAAAGATTTTGTTTAGGCTTCAAATGAAGATATTTTGGTTCAATGAATATGAAATAAAATTGTTTTGATCAACTAAAAAACATGCTTCCAGAAGAAAGGACACAAGTAAAAATAGAAGCCAATATAGAAAACATCATGGATTGTTGGCAACAGATCACAATTGAAGTTTGGGATACCTTTATTGATACGGTATAGGGTACAGAAAAATGAAAAAATAAATTGGAACAAGCAAGGAGGAATCGTTTAACTCAAAAAGAAAGAAGTATTACAAAGCACATTAGTGGTTTAGTTCCACTCCTTGTTCATGCAAAACGGATGGTATGAATTAATATTTATTTGTTATGCTTTACATACTACTACTTCTCATATTCTAATATGCCTTACATGTTATGTAAAATATGCACATTATGATTAAGAATAGTTTTAAATGAACGCTGGCAAATGACATGAATTGAGATGTTAGCTTTGTGGAAGTATTCAACCGCACCAATAAACGTTTAAGGGGTCATGGTGATTTCATAGATAATAAGTCTAAAACTATTAGTGTATATAAAAAATTGATTGATTTTTACTCCAAAGTTAACAATAAAATTTTACACTAATTCTTTTCACTTTTTTAATTTGTAGAAAACATATATTGCTACATTACCACCAAAGTACAATGAAGATTCATTCTCAAAGCTAGAATGTGATCCGCATGCTTAGACTGAAGCAATTGGAGGGATGACTACTATATGCACTCATGTGTATGGGTTTGGTTCTTGAGGGTCTGCTACAACTATACTTAATGATGCAACAACATCTGAGTTAATAGCTAGCCCTTGTATAGGTCTTGACATTAGGTTGGAAGAAAAAGTGAAAAATCTATTAAATGACATAAGTTAGATGTGTGAGCAAATGATGCAACATTCTAGAGCCATGAATGAATTTATGGCAAGTATGAAAGCAATGATAAAAAAGAAGCATTCGAAAAAAGGCCATGTGAGTATTTCAAGTTCAGATTCTGACAAGCAAGGTGATATTTCATGATAATAGCCTATTTTCTGAATTTGACTTAGATACTTTTTTTAATATGGCATACAATAACAAATTTAACTTTATTTTTATATTTTTGTATTGTGTGTTTGTATTGATTTTTAATTCTGTCAACTTACTTTGAATTAAGTATTTTAATTGCATGTTAAGTATAACCTGTGCAGATTATTTTTATTAATTTGTAACTATGATTATTTTAATAACAAAATTTATGTTTTGGGGAATTCCTCTGGAATTTTTCATTGGTAAGGCATTTCCAACGAAAAATTCTGTTGGAAATTACCTACAGATTTTTCAACAAAAATTTTCATTGGTATTGGTTTCTATCCATTGGTAAATTCCAATAGAAAATTCCGTTTGAAATTTGTTGGTAATTTCCAATGAAAAGTCTGTTGATAATTTCTAACGGAAACTTAACTATTTCCTACGAAAAATTTCTACAAAAAAAGTCTGTTTTTTTGTAATATTATAATTAGTCATCCCCTTGAGCTAGCTTAAGCGCAGAAATGACTTATGGTTTGATCAAAAGATATATTTACATCTAATGATGTAGATGTAGTTCTAGGTTCATACATAAAATGATAATCAAGATGAGACGAAGAAGGAAAACCTTACTCTTAGAAGATTTTTGTAAGCTATGCCATTTCGTTGTGTATAGTTTTGTGTCCACGAAAAAGTCTTGATTTTTCCAAGAAATTTATTTCATTTGCCTTGCACTCAATGCTAAAGAACCCATATACTTGTGCCAAGGAGAATGACATACCAAGCCCCAGAAAAGATGCTTATTGATTTCATCCTTTTTCTTTTAAAATTGTTTTCACATTGTGTGTGCTCGATAGCCTAATTGTTTGATGTAAAGAGAAGTTATCATTAATCTTTTTTGTGTACATGTGATTGAATTTTTTTGAATTTATATTTTTTAATAAGATTCCAAACTTAAAGCAAGTTCATGAAAAGATATAGGTTACAAGTTACCAAACAAATATAGCTTTAGAAGTACGATTATGTGTGAGCAAACCCTTCAGTTTTTAATTTTTTATTTTTGTGTATAAAAGTCAAAATATATAACTTTGCCACCTTTATATAATTTAAAATAATTTATTTGTAATAGTGATAAGGAACTTTAGCTAAATTTTGAATGCTTGGGTTCAATCCTTTCTAAGCCCAAATTTTGAAATTACTTTTCTTTTCCTTCTTTTCCTTTTTTTTTTCCTTACCTCATCTTATCATTTTTGTTTTGGAGTGACATCAAATATCATTTTTAGAGTATTGTCTCTATCATGATTCTTTGAGTTTAGAGTTCGTTTCTCTTTTTAAGAAAGGTAAAAAAAAATTATTAGAATTTTAAGAGAAATAGAGTTTAAGTTCACCAATTCATAAAAAAAAAATCAAAAATAAAGAACAGAATGGTGAAAACATCTCTGACGTGAAACTCCCTGATTTGCTAACCTATTAGTTATAAAGATTCTCTCTCTAAAAGTTTGCTTGATGTATAGACTTAAAATTTCATACTTAAGACTTTTAATGTGATTAAAGATGAGCTTCAAAATCTAAATAACAGTGTAATGATTATTAATCCAAAAAATTGTATTGCAAGAGTCACTCTGAATAATAAGGGACTGAGAAGAAACCCCAGGTGATGAATTGAAAATCAAAATACTATATCAAGGTGTAGATATTCAAATGTGGCAGATATCTTATAATCTTGGGTTTTTTTTTAATCAACTCATATATTTTGTATTTTGACTTTATCATATATAAATAGTCTTCCATTAAGTTTATAAGAGAGAGAGAGTTACTATAGGTATATATGAGTTTTAGTTTATGTGACAGTAAGAATGCATCTATTTGGAAACTTATATTTCTTAGATTATGGTAAAATTTCTTTTAATATCCAGATCACATCCATGGTATCAAGTCGAACCACGAAATTCCTTTATCTTTTGTTCATTATTTTTTTGCTATATTTATTAAATTTTTGTGGATTGCGTTTGAGTCTTATGACAACAATTCCTAACTCTGAATTAGTTTATGAAGTTATAATTTTTGTTTTTTGCGTCGGCAATTTCATTAGAAAAAGTCACCTAGAAACATTAAAGAAGAAAGAGACTGCTACCTATAGAGTTACTTGCAGGCCATACATATAGCACAGCCATAGAATGAGAATATTTGGCTAGGGCTAGAGTACTATTAGTTATTAATAGAAAGGATAGCCAGCTACTGGTGGATGTTGCTTTGGTTTTGTTGGTTTCTAATAAGCTCCATGAAGAACTGGCAATTGTTATTGCTTTCGAAGGAGCATTAACTGAGTATGTGAGCCTTGGAGGCCATTAACGAGGCCAGTGATCAATGAAAGGAAAAGTGAGGTTGCTTTGATTCATCTTATTAGCTACGTTATGTTTATTTTCCTTTGGAAGCGTTAGCAAAAATGTTTGTGAGAGGAAAGAAGGGTTTAAAGAAACTGCATATGTAGATGGTTGATAAAAGGGATGAGAAAATAAAAATAGTAGGAATGAGCTGGGCGATTTGAAATGAGAGGAGAAAAAGGCTATACTATATTAAGTGTAAGAGAAGACTTGGAAGAAGAAATTGAAAGGGACAAAAAACTAAAGTACTGATAGTAAAGTGGAGTCATGTGAGGGCATTTATAGTGGGGTTATAGTGCCTTTGTTTCTTAATGCACATCGGAGAAGACTCCTTTAGTTAGGTGCAAAAAGGCGAAAGCAGCATGTGAGGCCATGTGCCCATGCTCAACAGACCCACCCCGAAATATTTTTAGACATGAATCTTTGGTATTTCTTTGGAAAATGCTAATCATCACTCTCCATTTTGACTTATGAGTTACCATCCTTCTACTCCTATCACTCACTACTACTGCTACTACGTTGGTCCATAAGACAGACTCTAAGGACTTGAGTGAGGTCGGTAATGGCCCTTTCTTATTGCTATTGTATTTATTTATTTTCATGTAATTTAGACAGATCAGATCGACATGCCAGTTAGTATCAATACATATAATTTATTTGTACTCGAGCATTTGACTTATAATTGGTGTCTAACCTCTCTATCTAAAAAGCAACATTTGAATCCTTTTGTTTCCAATTAAAAAAATATATATACAACTGATTTGCGGGAAAAATGAAGAAAAACTGTACCTGAAAAAAGAAAAAGTGTGTGTTACCTCCACCCTCCGTAATCAGCTCTCTATTTTGTCCTACTGCTTCAATTTCTTTATCATTCCTTTATGTTGTGGGCTGGAGTCCATATTTCAAAGTCGATTTTGACCTGAACTAAAATAAGATGTCATATTTGTACATATAACATCCACCAATGACCAATCCTTTTGTCTATAATATAAGATGTAGCTAGCTAGATGCTTAAGTTGTATGTCCTAAAGCAGTCGTTGTTCTCCAAACTTTTTATTCTCTCTTAAGTTGAAGGTATTAGAGAACAATGGAATGACTCTTTTATCTCTCTCTCCTTTGTCCATTACTCTTATTCTCATTATTATTTTTTTCCCTTTGAATTGTTATATTCCTAGCTCCGTGGGTTTGTCCTTAGCTCTCTACTTTAACAATTCTTTGATGGCTTGATTCTCATATAAACACCACGGCTAGTAATATTCTTTATTCTTGTATAATTATTAACAAAACTTTTTCTCTTCAGTTTTCTCTACTCTTCTTTTCTCTGTTGTTTCTATTTCATTTTCCTTATATTACTTATTGTTAAAGTGGCAGCGTTATTCACTTTCTGGGATGGAAGGACACATGAGTAAACGAAGACGTATTTATTCTCTGGAACTAAGGAAGATAATCCAAGCCAGTTTTACAAGAAAATATGTGAAATACTTAGTCCTTGCTCTAACAAAGATCAGTAAAGAAATATTGTCTGGCGAAAGCACTGACCATGAAATAAAGGAGATTGTAAGGTATGAAGTGGATATGGCATTGGCGTTATCGGCTGAAGGCTTTGCGTGGAGCCATGCCTTGAAAGACAAGCTTTGATTAAATGTCAATGTAGCTAGATTTCAAAGCTCTTTAGCTCATCACCAGCTCCCATCCTTCAAAATTTCTTCGTCAACTTATAGTCCAAACTGTGAGGTATGTGAAATACTTAGTCCTTGCTCTAACAAAGATCAGTAAAGAAATATTGTCTGGCGAAAGCACTGACCATGAAATAAAAGATTGTGAGGTATGAAGTGGATATGGCATTGGCGTTATCGACTGAAGGCTTTGCGTGGAGCCATGCTTGAAAGACAAGCTTTGATAAATGTCAATGTAGCTAGATTTCAAAGCTCTTTAGCTCATCACCAGCTCCCATCCTTCAAAATTTCTTCGTCAACTTATAGTCCAAACTGTGGGAACATGATACAAAATGAGGTCGACGATCACCAAAATGCAATTCTCTTAAAGAAGATTTCTTCTAAGCCTGGCCATGAACCTACAACTAAGAAATCAAAAGGGGCTAAAAGAACAGAAATGCAGCCAGAAAGTACGAAAAATGAAGAAGTGGAAAGTGGAGAAGAGAATCAAATTAGAAGGCGGTTGACATATCTAAGGACTCTTTTACCAGGAGCGAGAAAGGTGATGTTTGATGATGAAATGTTAAGTGAAGTGGGAAGTTATATTTCTTGTCTTGAGTTACAAGTGAATATTCTTACGTCCAAGGTTGAAATAAATTGATTATCTAGATTAATTTCCTTTTACTAGCTAATTCACTTAATTTCTACTAAAACATTCCATCAAGGTTGAAAGCATGGCCCCAAGCCGAGATAGATATATATATATGTATGATATATTGTTGCTACTGTTTCATTATTTTAAAAGTTGTAAAATATGTGGTTGCTATCTAATCCTTTATGTATTTGCACCCAAAAGAAAAAGAAAACAAAAATGCCTTCTATATGGATTCGGAGGATATTTGCACTTTCTCCCCTCATCATCTTGGTAGTATGAAATACAGATATTATATCATTTGAGTCATAATGCAAACTATTGAAAGATTAATTTGGTTAGAAAAAATTATATATGCGAGAGTGTTTGACTAAACATGTACAAAAAATATATTGTAATAAAAGTAAAGATATACTAAGAAGATCTAATAAAGAAACAATATTGCTCTAATACTCTCCTTCAAATTCGCGAATGAAGCTTCTAAATGTCCACTTTGATGCATAAAAAATGAGAACATGGTGAATAAGTGAGCAAGCTAGTTTGGGGTGAAAATGGAATAAGGAAGAAGGATGTCAACTTAGAGTTTCTCACGAAAGATTAGATTAGCTGCAATATGTAAGGTTGCTTGATTATCACTAGAAAAAAGAGATTGGTTGGACAAAAAAAATACTAAAATCTTTAAATAAAGATTTCAATCAAATAATTTCACAAGTAATCATTGTCATAGCACGTTACCGAGCTTTTGTAGATATCAGACTAGCACCAAGAAAGATATAATAGTCAATTATTGAACTACGAGTCATTGGATATGTGATCCAACCACAATAAAAAAAATGCACGTGATTAGAGAGAATAATAACCTCCAACTCATTACAGTATTTACAAAATAACCTAACTATAAAATACATATGCTACAAGAGCATAAATATCTTCAGCATCCCCCCTCAAGAAGAGTATGGATGTTAACAATGCTCATTTTGCTCAGCAATTGATACAACTGTGCAGGCTTAAGAACTTTAGTGAAAAGATTAGTAACCTAATTAGCAGTAGAAACTTGTTAAGGAACAGCAATACCTTTTTGAACTTTTTCTTTGATAAAGTGGCAATCAATTTGTGATACACTTAGTATGTTCATGAAATGTGAGATTTTTGCAAATATGAAATGCTCTGATTATCACAAAACAAATCCTTAACTTAAGAATAAAAAATACCAAAACTTGTTAACAAATGAAGTAACCAAGTAATTTCACAGCAACTAGTGGCAATAGTTTTATACTTTCCCTCAGTGGAACTCCTAGCTACAACCAGTAGCTTCTTAGAATTCCAACTTATGAAAGAGTCAGCAAGAATATTTTCAAACCTCGTTACTGACTGTCAAGTGTGTCAACACCCTACCCAATCACTATCAATGCAAACTTTCAAATTGTAAAATATCAGCCTTTGATAGAGTGAGATTTGATAAATAACAAGTATGCTTGATGAACCATACGATAATTGTGTTGTTGGATGATTTTCCCAACCATTTTGCTAAAAATTTCTCCCTTGTATAGTGCTTTAATTATGGAAGATTGATTATTGAAAGAAAGGGAGGAAAAGGAAACCAAAAGAATCCTTTTTGGAAGTTAAAGCTAAACTGGTTGATTCTTATGGAAGAAAGCTCAATCCTTGGAGATTTTAGGGTCACATTTAGTTTCTAGAATTATGGGGGGATCGACCCTAGAAAGAGAAAAAGTCGATCCCTGTTCCACAGACCACAATACATAACTCTCTGGAATTCAAGAATCGACCTTTCGAAGAGGAAGGGTCGATCCTTACAAGACATAACACTTTGGTTAGCTTCTAGAATTACAAGGATTGACCCTAAGCTTTAAAAGGCTGATCCTTACTAGGTAGAACACGAAAATAAGCTTTTGGAAGTTCATGGATCAAACCATGAGGTTTAAAAGGTTGATCCCCATAGCAACATAAGGAAAAATAAGACCCAGGGATCGACCTTTAAGATTTAAAAGGTTAATCCCTAGAGCCCAATGAGAAAAAATAAAAGAGACCTAGCCCGACTCTTATTTCACATTTTTCATCTCTATTAGCGTCCATTCACTCTTTTTTACTTTCCAAACCCCTCTACAGCTACCATAGTCCACATTTAACAAGGTTTTAGCTTCCAAACTTGAATATAAGGTAAAATTCAACCATTTCAAGCTTTAGTTCCATGGGTTAAGCTAATTTTCTCTCTCTATGAATTTATAGCAACCTACCCACTTTTGAGTTAGAATTTTGGGGGATTTTAACTTCCTAAGGAAATATTGAGGTAAGGATTTTCTAGTTGGAGTAATAAATGCTTTGAGTCAAAAGTTTTAAGCCTAATGGAATCAAATCGAAGAATATTCGTTTACTCGACTAGTTTTGAATAAATGGGTTTGATAGAAAACTAGGAAACTTATGATAAACTTAATTATTGTAGGAATCATAGAGCTCGACGATCATAGATCGAGCAAGGATTGGCGAATTGATGCTTAGAAAATACGTTTCTTGTCAAGGTGAGTAGATACACCGTTTCAAAGTATTTTGGTTTGTAAAGCTAAGCATGTGTAGACACCATTTTCAATTCTATTAATTTTTATTTATTTTTTCCACTTTTTACTATTAGTTTATTTTATTAATAATTTAGTTTTAGTTCATGGGCTCATGTTGGATCCAAATTCCACAACTAGGCTAGTGTTAAAGTTTGAAAAGGCCTATAAAGCTAGATTCACTTTAGTCTAGGCCTGGATGCATGAACTAGTTTTAAGGCCCTATTCTAGTTTTTCAATTCAAAACCTCTAGTTAAACAAGATTAGTAGAATTTATCAAAGCCAAAATGAATCTAACATTGAAGCTAGGACAATATTAAAGACATAAAACAAAATAACAAGAAGAACATTCTGAAATAAAAGTTGAAAGGCCAACTGGCCAAAAAAACAAAAAGGACAACAAATGCTCTCTGCTAAAAGCATTTTCACGCCTTGGCAAAGGCCAACACACAAGAAAATCAACAACCGGCCAAAGAGTGCTCAAAACTGGCACCCTCCTGAACAATATACATAGAACAATGCATCACCAAATAAGAGGAGGAGGAAAAACCCTAAAAAAATTTTAGAAAAGCAATAAAACCTTATAACCAAAAAATTTAAAAAAACTGAAAGAAATCAAAAAGAGTAGAAACCAAAAACTAGAAACCCTATAACTTAAATTGTTTTTAGAAAACCCTTTCTAAAAAGACAACCCTAGTTTCTACCAGCCACACAAAAAAAATCAAAAGAAAACAGTAAAACAAAAATCAAAGAAAAACAAAAAAAAAAGAAATGTATACATTTCTCATAGAGTTTTAAGATATAGTGGAAAGCTATTAGACGAGTGATAGTTTTAGAGAGAAGGGAGAGCCATTTGTCTATAGAGAGAAAGTGATAGGAAAAAATGAAAAAAAAAAAAAAGAAAGGGAGATTTAAATAGTTAGGGTTAAGAAAGGTATAGGTTAGATTCAAAAAGTGTCATTTGGGAGCTTCATTAGTGCACCAAAACATTGCATTTTGCTACATTTGGAAGACTTCTAAAGAGCAAGCCCTTATTGCTTCCACACAACTAGATTACCTTGGCTTAGTCTGAGCCCAAGCAAGGTGAGGTCTCTTTTCTTTTCTCTTAGATTACTATTTGGGCTTGGATTGTGCTTATTGTGAATGTTTGCATATAGTTAAGTCCAATTTATTTTTTAGAAAAAAATATAAAAGTTAAAATATGATAAGGTGAAAAAAATTTTAAAAAATATTTGTGTTTTATAGTGTAGATGTTAGGAACAGGAAAGTAGAAAATTGTGAAAAAATACAAAATATAGAACAATATATAGTAACTAGAATGAGGTTCTCGCTACACAGTGGGCATGTAAATTTTAATAAACGATTGTGGTAGATATAAGTTCTTTATTAAAGTAGCTAAAACTTGTCTAATAATATAACATATTACAAAAACATTCCAGTTGTATTTTATCTGTAGATAGTCAATATTTATGCAACACAAAAATGTTTCTTCTATATTTTAGATGCTGTCAAAATAAGGCAGACTCAAAAAAAATGTGATCATGTTCTATGTCACATGAAAAACAAAGTATGCTACACAATATATAACAAAAAATGAAGTCATAGTATTTTCTTCATCTTCTAAAGATAGCTTGTACTATATACAACCAGCACTGTAATAAAAGAAAGATTAAATTTTAAGAAGTCTCATCAATTTTGAAACTAAATTTTCATATAAATGTAAATGTTCTGTGTGATTATCATTACAAAAATTGGACTAGTATTGCTAAGATAAGGTTGTTAACGCTACTTGGCTTTTCCACGTCCCTTACTGAAACATTAAGAAAGCAATATTTGAGACCACTCTCTAAACATTTCTTTAATTCGTTCAACTGTGTATTGCATATATAAGTGAAAAGTATGCATGGTAATGGTGATGTTGATAATGTGTTTGCAGGACATGGCATATCTAAGCACATGTGAAACAAATTGTGAAAAGAAGTAAATATATAACATAGCTTGAATAGCAAATTTTTATGTTATGAATGCATAAGTAGATAAAGAGTATATGTGTTAAGCTACCAAGGATGTAATAACTCCTAAAGAGGCTAAAATAAAGACTTACTAAAAATGAATCAAATTATTTTAGAAAAGGTATCACCTCAAAATTGGAGGTTTGTTCATCATCCAACTATCAGAAGTAACAATCATGAAAATATCCGATCAAACCTTTTCATTCCTTAATAAATGTTGTTGAAATTCTAGTATTTGTTCATTAAGGACTTGGTTAACAAATATGCATTACTAAATATTGATTATAGCTAATGACAGAATCAACATAAGTTTCTAGACAACCTCATATGAGAACATTTCAAATTGAAAATGAGTTTAAGGTAATAGAATCAAGCTCATAGTCAACAGAGTTATATATTCGCATAATAGAAAAAGAAACTAATTATT